AAACTGCCAAAACTGTGTTCAGCCACCTTAGCGCCTCTTCATATGAGCCCGGTTGACCGGGCTAGCCCGGTTTCCAAGATCTCACCTTGCCTCTAAAGCCTTTGTAAAATTTTGGATGTGTTTATTTGAGAGGGCGGGCTGACTCGGTTGCCGAGATCTTGGTTTTTCCAACCGAGATCTTGGTAAGCGGGCTGGAAATTTTGCCATATGAACACTTCATCCCGGTTACCGGGATGAACGGCGGGATGAATTCTGGCGGTCAGAATGGCATCGTCTTGCGTTGCCTGCTGTATTTTCCACATCATAAGCATCCCATTTAACTGCAGTGATACAGCTTTAAGAGTTACCGATGCTAAGATAGGCTTGAAAGTTAAAATTTTTGTGTTTCACTATACACCGTATTCACAAATGGCGGACACGCGGGAAAAAACTGGTGCCTAGTCATGAAAGCGAGGCGTTGGAGGGTAAACAAAAATTGCAAATGAAGACTTTCAGTGAACTTGCAGAGTGTTTAGCACGGATTCCACCTAAAATAACTTTGTACGGACTTCTTTTTAAATACAATTATGTGGGATGTCTTCTGCTTTTAATGTTCAGTATTGATTTGCTGTTTGCAATCAAAAGGGACGCGTATATCTTCAAGGAAACAGGATGATTTTGTAGGTTTCCGAAGCATCAGAAGCTCGACAAGTGGGCGATGGCTGGAGAAAAGCGGCAAACATGTTGGCCCAAACTTCACGCTGAAACCGAATACGAAAGCCAGCTCACTGCAATTCTGTAAAACAGAAGTAAAAACAGATATTGGTGGCAAGAAAAAAAGAAATAAGCGACGGATATATGGCCTACTTGTCAACGGAAGAGACCTCCGCCATTACTTAAAACAGGTCAAGTCGAGAGCGGGTGAAAGATTCATTCACGAGACTCATTCATTCTTGTCAGTGTCATTTTACACATATCTATGTATGTCTGTATTTACAGCTTCCTTTGGATGATATTAATTCCTTCGCTTTGGAGTGAATTGTTAGAGGTACGTTGGCAGAGCTTAGCAAATTCAGTGCAAATTTAAAATCTTTTGATTTCTTTGTCATTGCGAAATAAAATAATTTTATCAAAACTAGAAGCTCTAGTGTGTGAATCTTATGGCTTGCTATTTGCCTGGTCTCCTTTACGGCATTATCTCGGAGAGCTCTTGGTAAAAAAGGGGTATAAAGCTCACATTTTACTAGGTTAAACTTTTAAGGCAATGTTTGTGTTAGGACTGAACACGGCAAGGTTCTGCGGTTCGAATCATTAAAGGCGAGTCTGGATCCGTGTAAGAAGACAATCATTTTATTTATTTATGTATTCTTCACTTTTAAAATATTACGGAACATGAAGTTAAAACTCTTAACAGCCAAAGATAAGAATTAAATAGGAAAATTACTTGCTGAAATGAAATGTGGCCGGCTTACCGAGTCTGCCGAGTAACAAGTTGAAATTTTGAGCGTACTCCACTCGATCGCTCCTGCATTTGTACCAAAACGATAGTTCTAATTGATGTCCTTCATCGATAAAGACCAGAGAATAACGTCCTGCCAAATAAACACCAAACATAACTTCATCGAAACCTCAGTCACCGCTTCTTTCCTGTTTTCCTTTTTTTTCCATCTCGATTTGCACTGTTTTGTTCAATGGCACACGTCTCTTGCGTTAACAAGTAGGCCATATATCCATCGCTTATTTCTTTTTTTCTCCCACCAAGATTTGTATTGTTTATATTTCTGTTTTACCGAATTGCAGTGAGCTGGCTTTCGAACTCGGTTTCAATGTGAAGTTTGGGCCAACATGTTTGCCGCTTTTCTCCAGCCATCGCCCACTTGTCGAGCTTCTGATGCTTCGGAAACCTACAAAATCATCCTGTTTCCTTGAAGATATAGGCGTCCCTTTTGATTGCAAACAGCAAACCAATACTAAAAATTAAAAGCAGAAGACATTCCACGTAATTGTATTTAAAAAGAAGTCCGTACAAAGTTATTTTAGGTGGAATCCGTGCTAAACACTCTGCAAGTTCACTGAAAGTCTTCATTTGCAATTTTTGTTTACCCTCCAACGCCTCGCTTTCATGACTAGGCACCAGTTTTTTCCCGCGTGTCCGCCATTTGTGAATACGGTGTATGTTTGCCTTGTTTTGGCGCCAGAATTTGTACCCAGGATCTTCGACCTTTTCTCATCTCGGAAACCGGGCTGAAATTTCTCATATGAACCCAAGGCAAAATTCATCCCGGTAACCGCGCCAGCCCGGTCAACTGGGCTCATATGAAGAGGCCCTTAAACGGATTGTTTTGTAATGGGGTGCTGCAGCACACGCTTTATCTTTGACATGTTGTGCAAAAACTGGTTTGGGGAGGTTAACATGGAAGTGAGGTTTGAAGTGTTTATATATCTGTTTTCTGTTGCAAAAGAAAAAAGTGTGCAAAAATCAAATGCTTTGAGTACAAAAAATAGTCACCCCCTCTCTTCCAGACAGAAGTAAATAGTTAATTTCAAATAGGCTCTCAATTACAGACCAGTGCAATGGAGACTGTAACAAATTAATTATTGTAGTACTAGTAATAGTAATCACAGAGTAATAGAGTACGGTTGAGATTTCTGCTTTGAAGCGGAGGGTTGGCAATGGTTTAACTTGAAAATGAGGCAAGATTCTTGCATGAAAACAAGGTAAAACAGGGAAAATGGCTGCAAAGTTCGATTTGCTTCCCATGTCTTGCACAGGTCACCCAACACAAAAGTACACAATTAGACTTGCGTTCTCCAATTTGTTGACTGCAAATACTTTTAACTCTCATCACCTAGTGGCAGAGATAGTTTGATATCAGATTTGGAACTAATAATTGCCCCTTTAGGCCATCCATATTAAGGATTACTGATGCTACTAAAGAGTGCATAATATTTGTTGTCTTTCCAAGGAAGTTCAAAGACCTTAAACTTTCTTAAAACAGTTTTTAAACCAGAAGATTCAAAATGTACCCTGTATTTATATACACAGTAGTTTTTTTACTAACATTAAGACTTTGTGGTTTAGGTTGAGTGACTTTATAGTTAAAAGAATATGTTAGGGTTCCGCCATTCTGATGCACTTGATACTGAAAGATTAAGCCTTAAACTGGGTACTGAAAATTCTATTGTGTAATAGTTGCTCGTTCTCTGCTTTTCATTTTGATTTCACAGGTGGCAAAGGTGTAGGAAAGTCCAGCTTAGTTCGAAGATTTCTTCTAGGAGAATTTGGTAAAGCTTACCATGGAGGAAGTCAAAGTAAGACGCTTTTTTTCTACTTTTTCTGAGCTATTAGATAATCATGAAGTGTTTCTGTGTAAACATAATTTTGCTGCTTCACTCATGCAGTTTATTCCTTCTACCTTTAGTTTTTTGGGAAAAGACTTCACTTCCATGTGTGGACAACGACAAGCGCCATAACCATGGACTCATTGTACTGGATGGTGATCCTCAAACAGTCAATCCACCCCCTGGAATTGAACTTGATGAAGGTGTGACTGGTGTGGCAGTTGTTGTCGTATACGATATAACAAACCCAAGTTCATTTGATGAGGCAAAGCGTCGTGTAGAAGTGCACTGGAGTGTTCGTCCAAATCTTTTTGGGCCCAGTCTTGTGGGTCTTGTAGGAAGTAAAGCAGACCTTTGGATGCACAGAAAGATAAAATATGAGGTATTAAGCTGTTATTATTATATTCATGTTAAACTTCCATGGAACTGATTACACTTCTCTGTTTATAGACCTCAAAAAGTGCTCTTTTTTCTTCTTTGGTTTAGTTTAGAGTATAGCGTAGTGTTTTTTTTTCTTGAAGTTCATGGTTATAACACCATGAACACGCGAAGTTCAAATAAATTATATATTTCTTTCTGCCGTACCAACATAAGAAAGTTCTCTGTTTTTTATCAAGGTCCTGTTTTCTTTAATAAGCTACAAAATTTGAAGAAGAGATCATTCGTTTGAAGAATTTATGCACTCAAATGGACATAAGACCACTGTTTTTGTAAAGATGAACTCTTATATTATATTAGAATGGGGCGGCGCTTATTAACAAAACCACATTTGAAGGGGGCGCTTATTCGAAAGGGGAGGCTTGTTGGAAGGAGGGTGCTAAATCGAATAGTTACGGTAATCACGGTTTTGGAGGCCATCTTGACGGGTAAGCAATCGCGTGAAAATATACAGTGTTTTGTGTATTTTTTTCCTTCTTGCCGACTAAAATTTCCCAGGAAAAATTGTGGACAAATGTCTGGAAAATCTAAAGTAAGCGACCGGACAAATTTAGGCACAGGTGCGGCCCCTATTAATTGTTAGTGCAATCCTTTGCTGTGAAGCTTAAGTTTACAATTCTTCTTTCTTAAAAACATCCGTTTTATTGAAATTATCCGACATTAGATTCCCTAACAAGACCCTTCATCTGTCAAGATGGCTTTCAAAACCGTCATAAGAACTATAGTAAACGGCAGTACGAAAATTGAATTTTCAACATTTCAAAACAACCGAGCATTCTTTGCCTCTGCTTCTTTGTCAGTTCTAATAAAATACACAATATTCTGTAAATTCCGTCTTTTAGAATATTCCATGTATTCCGCCATTCCGTTCCGTCAGTCCGCCATTCCTCCCAATAGGGTCACTCCTATTTTTGTCGTTTCGCGATAATAATTGTAATTTTCGTAAATGTTGAAGCTATGTTCAGTCCTTCAAATATCTGTGCAGGGTACACATTTTTTGTAGACATACTAAAGTCGAACTGCATGACACTTTTCTCAAGGGCGACTATGCGCACCTCATCTCACGGCAACTCAGCCTATTTTGTTTGAGGCATATTCCAAATTTCGCGCGGCATTTTTTTTGTTCCAAACTTTTCTTTTCCCGGATTGTTTTCAAAGAATTAGAGAAAAAATAATCAAAGTGCGACCGCTGTGCTTCTGTTTGGCAACAATATCCGTCCTTTTTTTTGGTGTTTTTCTGAAGGATGCTCAGCTTTTTGCCCAGAAGTATCCCATCCTGTTCATGGAAGTGTCAGCATTCACAGGCTTGAACGTGGATAATTTGTTCTCCAAAATAGGTACGTTTACCTTGAATGTGCTATTAGACATGCGTTATTGATCAAACGTGAGGTCAAGATGGCTGGATATTGGCCAAGTTCTTTTTGTCTCGGTCAATAAAAACACACAAAAAACGAGGCCAATATTCGGCCATCTTGACCGAACAAGCTTGGTCAACAAAGGATTTATTACATGGCGAAAAAGAGAACTTTTACTGCTCGCGGATTCAGCCATTAAAAAGGAAGATCACTGAATGGAGCGGGACGATAAGTTTTATATTCTTACGACAACCTCTCTCTGTTGTTTTTCAATCAAACCGAACATTTTACTCAAATATTCAGTGATGTCGTTGACAATATTGTCAGGTGTGTACGTATTCTATATTACTTTGAATTTTGATATTAATTCAAAATATTACTGATAGTTGTGCAAATACTTTTTGAAGTACTGTGATGGTATGAAGTGGCAATTTGTAGATTTTTAAAACACTTTGACATGAATTGAATAAGAAATTTTGCAAGAATGAGGAATGTCTCAGTATGCATGTAAACAACCTAATACGACATGAAAGTGCTTTGTAATGTGTCAAGAGATTTCTATCATCTCCAAATACATCAATAACAACTTGTGCCTACATACTGTGCAAAACACTTTCCATAAAGTATTCTATATAGCTCTATATATCTGCACCTATAGCTCTTCAATTAATTCGGTGACTTACCTCGACGTACTGCATTGTAGCTGGAAGTTCAGATAAATATTCATTCTGAGTCAATAAAGTTGAAGGAAGTGCTTAAATGTGAGCTTTCAATTTATTTTCAGATGACTGAATAGGCTTTGTTCAATTACTCCACCTGAACTTGTGTACAGTTCTCTCTCTAATACGCAACCTATACTGAGATTTTTTTTAGATTGATTTGCCGACATTTTTTTTTGTTTTTTTTTTAGGGGGTTGAGGGAGGTGTTTCGATGGGTTGCGCCTGAACTTCGATGCGCTTTGGTTATTAAGAATCTTTTACGGGCTGCAACACTTGCTAGTTACAGTAATTTTTTACACCAATTTGTTTTCTTTTTCTAGGTTTGATGGTACAAAGCCGTGTTTTGTTGAAAGCGGATAACGCTGCATTTGACATATTCGAGGATGAGCTGGGCACCCAAATATTTGAGAGGAGAAAGGCACTTGCAAGATTAGTAAAGATGCAAGAAATTGACCTTTCGTACCACGGGAGATTTACTCCACTTATTTATAATGTAATATCAGGCATAGAATCATTGGTTCTTGACGGCTACTTGTGCACGCTTTGCAAGTTGGATTTAAGCCACAATCAACTATCCCGATTCCCTAAAGAAATTGGTTCTCTACTTTCCCTGACCCACTTGTTCCTTAATGATAATAACTTGTCATCACTACAGCCTATAATTATAAGACGACTGGTAAACCTGCAAGAGCTGGACTTGCGGAATAACAAATTAAACAACTTTTCACTGGATATCACTAAGCTGAGTTGTCTTCGAAGGCTAAGTGTTCAAGGAAATCCTCTAAAAGATGATGAAACAAGAAAACTGATGAAGCTCGCCCATAATGAGAGATGGATAGATATTGCAGGTGAATGTAAAACTTCTTCACAACGTATATGCATTATTGACCAAGTTCAAGATGACCGGATAAGCCAAGTTCCTTTTTGTGTCATTATGGACCGAGATAAAGTCCAGGTCGATATAAATGCAAAACAGAACCATGCCAAAGCTTAAAGCCATCTTGACCGAACAAGCTTGGTCAAGCTTGGCCGGGAAAAGAAATACGTAGCCATTGCTGAAAGTTAGTTGTTTTAAGAAGTTTGACTGGAAGGGGTTAATGCAGTCATGCTTACTGTATTAGAAGATGACATTTCTTTGTTCGAAGAGCTTTTTGCCCCGGGGAGTACTTTAGGACGTTTTGGGTTGGGATGTGCTACTAGGACCCTGGAACCCTTAGCCTCTACCAGAGCTAGTTAAGTGAATTTTGCTACCATATACTAGACTGAACGCCCCAAATCCCCCTATCCTAGAGTAGCTGTTTTCCAAAAACTACTGAGGGCACTAGCACAGTCCAGCCAAAACAAAACCGATTTGATTTTTTTATATTCTTGAGTGGTAATTCCTGGTTTCCCTAGTCTAGACTAAAATCTTCAACCAATTGATCAGTTTCCTGGAAAATGATACCCTATTCTAGACCCAAACTCTCTAATTTATATACCCTATCCTAGAGTAAACTGTTTGAAAGCCATACCCTTCACAGAAGCACATATCTATATAGCCCATATATGGCAGAACACCCCCGGGCTTTTTGCCCGAGAAGAACTGAATCAAGACTACTTATTCACCATGACTACAATGTTCAGCCTGTCGCGATTATTTTGCGTTTTTGTCTGGTTTATATGTCTAGTGAAAAGGTTATAGGCGTTTTTCTGTACTATCGAATATAATGGTTTCTCCGATTAATGCCATTTGTATTTGTTGTTTATACTTTTTAATAGGGTCTGTTTACATAGAGGTGTGAGGTAACATGTGACGGGTCACCCCACATATCATGTAAAATATGATCTAATTAAAATCAGTAAAATAAGTGATTATATGGACAGGCGGGTTACCTTGGATCCCCCACCTCCATTTTAACAGGCCCTTAGACTAGTAATAACCAAAGGTTACGGAGTATGGGCGACAACGATCGAAGGTCAAAACGTTTCTGCTCAAATGCTGTGCTTTGCATAACTTTCACGTGATAGATGATCAAAACACGCGTGATAAAATTACAAGTGCCAAGGTCCGAACGCGCGTGATCACAGATTGCCTTCGGTGAATTCCATTCATTCTTACTTGAAGTCCACACGAAGCTGGCCACGCACGCGCGGAGCATGCGTAATAGCCACCTGGAGATTAGGATTGCTGGGCCCTCCTGTCGCACGCAATTAACAGATTTAAAAACCTCCTCCCAAATCAAGAATAAACAAATTATAAATTAGCTTCTCCGTCACGACTTCGAAGAAAATATTTGCTTGGCGCGGCTGACACATAGCTTTCCCACATGCAGTTTCAGTGTGCCCTATCTGGTCAGTTTTGTTCCTTGGTATGTGGCAAGTACGCTTGAGTTGGGAGGTATGAAATGATAATTGGGTTAATAGTTAAGTAGTATCACAATGTTTAAAGTCTCGTCTCTGCTAAGTTCGTTTCTACACTATAATGACCTCTAATCTCGTAAATCGTGAGTTAAGAAATGCCAATTTTTCTTTTAAAACTTTGACATTTAAAACTGTTACTTGTATTAAAACTGCTAAATAATATTTGCATTGCATTTTATTATATTGTCGCAGAAGTTCCAAAAGAAATTCTGTTCAAAGGACAACATTCAATGCTGATGTATCAAGAGGCCCTGAGAGATGGCTTTGTAAATGTTTACAGGGGTCGCATTTTTCTGATCGGTCAGGATCGTGCTGGGAAAACTAGCCTAAAAAAGTCACTGCTGGGTGTGCCATTTGACCCAAAAGAAGAAAGCACTGAAGGAATTGACCCTTCAAAGTGTGATATTGATGTTAATCGAGTTCAAAGCTGGCGTTTCGACAGCAAAAATACGATTTTGTCTGAAGTTTCTGAGCAAATTTCAAGGTCGTTGGCCTTGGAACTCTTTCCTTCTGAAGCCTCTAAGCAAATTTCAAGGTCGTTAGCAGTGGAACACTTTCCTTCAAGTCCTGGAATAGCACGTGATGGTTCAGCTTTGAGGTTGAATGGAGCATCATCTAGACAAGGATCCAAAGAAAAAGAAATGATAGCCTCAAATGTCTTCTACGTGAAACTTGCAAAGGTTAGTAGTCTTTCAAAACCTAAACCTGTCTCAAAATCATGTTGAAGACTGAACTGCATTTAATGCATGTATGTGCTGTGATGTCGCGGATGAGGGACTTCATGTATGTCAATTGTTTAATAAAGTTTGTGTGTATAACGGAAAAAAATATATATATTGTAGTATCTCAAAGTGCCAATGAGGGGAAAAGAATCGGATGAACAACTCTGCTCTGTTGAATCCGCACAATCTTGCCGAGACATGATAAAGTTACAAACCAAATGTCCCACTTTGATTGGTTCACTTCTGTGAGCCCTTTGTTACCTTAGCATACCTTACACATCAATCTAGATTTTTCCCGCCTGAAAAGTTCCTCGCGCTTAAATTTTGTTTAGGATCCCTGTGATGATCAGTCTGTTGGTATTTCTTCAATTCCTCCAAGTGCTCTCCGGCAAAATCGTAAGCGTGTCTCGTTTAAACGAACAACGAATTGTTCTCGCGGTAACCGGACTGCAGATCGTCTCAAGGAAGCAATAGCACACAGTTCAACAAGACAGGTTAAAAGTGGGGGTTCCCTAGTGACTGGTGATGATGATGATAATCATTATCACACTGCAGTTGACGATTATGATGGTCTAAATGAGGAAAAAAATTCAACACAAGAAAAGGCAACTACAGTTACAGTTCCTGCTGAGGTTACAAAATATACTACGGAGTATTTAAGGCAGATGCTTCTACAAGGTCAACAAACTGTCCATGATAACAACAGAGAAGATCCTATCGTAACCTTAGAGTTATGGGATTTTGCGGGACAGCATCTTTACTATGCATCCCATCCTGTCTTTTTCTCACCACGAGGAGTGTATGTTCTTGTTCACAACCTGAGCAAGCCACTTGGTTCCATGGCTGAACCCTGTGTTAGACAGGGAGTTCATGATATTTTTTTAGAAAACCCAAATGGTGAAACAAATATGGAGAATTTACTGTCATGGCTTGTTACAGTTCATAGTAGCAGACCAACAGGCGGAGAATTGGTTGGCAACACCGAAAGAGAGGACCTGGCTTACCTTCGGCCTCCAGTTTTCATTGTTGGAACACATGCGGACAAGCCAGTTGAGGACATTAACGTAATTACATCACAGATCCAGCGGGGTATTTCTGGTAAGGAATATGAGAAGCATGTGATCAGGCCATTCTTCAATGTTGACAACACGAAGGGCAACAGATCTATGATAAGACGAATGAGAGAGTTTCTTGGGAAGCGCCTTAAAAAAGGCCATCAACCAGGTATAGTCTTTGTATGTACAGGTAGAGTAACAATGCCTCAGTGAACTTTAGGCCAAAAAAGGACATCCTGCATGGAATTTAAATAAAGCTTTTTCATTAGCACTCCCACGCTTATCCCGCCAGCTACGCAGGCTAGTAAATGTGAAAATTAAAGAGATGAGTATAGCAGATATTCCTTCTGTCAGAGATTTTGTTTTCTTGATTAAATGTGACTACTGTCAAAAGCCAGTTAGTGAAAGTTAGGAGGTGTTTACATGAGAAGGCATTGCACCGGCGCGAGTTTCATACCGGGATGACTTTTTGATTTCGTATCACGTTTACATGATGACTGGGTCATTTCATATCTCGCTATTTGAAGGTACACTTCATATTTATAAAATACACGTGTGATTCAAAATCGCAAACATAACGCATGCGCTACCCGTTCCAGTCTACCGGCAGACCGATCTCAAACCGAAACGTGTGTGGTCGTTTCGCGTTTACATAATACCGTTGTGAGATTTCGTACCGCAGTGAATTCTCGCCAAGGTACAACAACCGAGGTGAACTCACGCCGGGGTGACTCGCGCCGGCATGACATTTTGTGGTGGTATCATGTAAACAAATGTAGAGCCATGAGAGGGAACCGGAGTGAACTCGCTCCAGCGCGAAAGTCGCCCTGGTGTCATGTAAACACCCCCTTACTAGATCCTGAGATGACACTTCCCCAAAATTATATGCACTCGGAAACTGAATTTTGCGAGGTTTACCTGTTTTCGGTTGTGTCCAACCAATAGCGTTATAAGACTTTAATACAAGTAACAAACTCACCCTCCGGTTATTTTGTGAAGAACAGAATTGAACTCCAGACCTCAGTACAGTGGCAACCAAAGACGACATCCCAACTTACTGCGAGAAAACAGAAAATCAGTTGAAATGTAGTCCTACAAGTTTCTGACAGGAGCCGATACCGATGAAATATTCTTCCAAGCTAGAACAATCAATGTTCCCCTGTTCCCTTGAAAACTAAATTATAAAAAGGTATACCTTTTCCGCTGAAAGTAAATGGCCATTTTTTCTTGTTCACCCAAACCTCTGGGAGGCCCTAGCGTGTTATAGTTCTACTAGGTAATACAGTAAGGAACTGTTAAATGCCCTCTTGATTAGTATTAAGCAGACCCTGCCGATCTAGACGACCCATCTCAGCTGCTCTTACATACCTTACATTTCCATATAACACTGACATTTATCAAATCAGCAAATACTTTGTTGAAACGTGCCAAAAGATCGCAAACCACCAACCAAAAAAACAGAAACAAATAAACAGTACATCAAAATTTTCCCCCATCGTGCAAGCTTCTACAATGCTAAAATTTTACTTGAACAATTAGCAGTTAGATTATCGCTAGTATTTTTTCTTATTCAGTGAAAACGAAAAATGGCAGCAATATATAATCTCATACCGGCTTGTAACTGATCATTACAAAGCTCTTTAAGAAAACGAAAATCGTAACATCCTTTTGTAATGTAACACGCAGTTAGCGTGCTTAATGTATTTTTTCCCCAAGGGCAAGAAGGTGACAGTGATGGCATCGATGATTTGCGTGCTAAAATCATGGAAGTGTTGAGACAAGAGCCATACATGGGGGAAAAGATACCAACCAGGTGAGTCATGTTTTAGTGACAGTCATGTGCAATGAAGTTTTCGCGCATCAAACTTCGCTTTTTTCACAGCTCTTCGCCCAAACTGATTCCTTATCTAAAGCTGATGGGGATTGCCTTGACGGGTTTTTGCAGAAAAAGGATCCGATTCTGATCCAATTGGCATGTGTTCAGGTTCTTTTTGGTTTATGCTGGTCTGTGATAATTCCAGCAAGGTATTAGTAGCTCATTTTGAAAAAGTTCTTCATAAAGTATCAAATCGATTTTTCTAAACTAAACCCTTCATGCGAATCTCTTGCTGTCATAACATATCTCGTTTCCTAGTTTTAATTCGAGTGGCAGTTTCTTGCTACTCCAGATCTTTGACTAAACGCAGCTGTTGCTTTGCCCATTCGGCAGTTGTCTATAATTCGTGTGTGGCCGATAGAACTTCAGCCACACAGGAGTTATGTCCCGTGAAAGTGCAATCCTCTACCACTGTTCGGTTAATGGAGACTTACGATCGGAGTAGGGTTTGGGCCTCAACTTGTTCTCCGTTTTCTTGGCAGTGATCATTATGCTAATACTAATAGCGATGTCTATAATTTCTGCCACAAAGTTTTGGAGCTCCTGGGTGCCGTTCGTGAGCGTCGTGCGTGTAGTTAAGGTCTAAGAAATGCCTATTCTCATATCACACAATGCTCTTTGCTCCAGTCCATTTCTCCAGCACCCAATCGATAGTTACCACAAATAGGAGCGACGAAAGCAAACACACCTGATGGACCCTCGTGAGGAAATGTTGTTCCTGACACAACATCTTCACTTTTTGTAACAGGACTTTGTTCAAGTTAGCTTCATGCTAAACCAGATGTTCCTGTATAAATAAATAAATGTTCTTAGGTGGAATGCCATACTGGAACAAGACATTTCACAAAGATTCTCTGTGGACGCTGTCGAATGGCTTTTTGATGTCGATAAAGCTGACTGCCAGAGGCGGCTGGAGCGCATTGCACTTCTCACTGACGTGCTTATAATAAAGATTAATTAATATTATTCACATCTTCTTGCTCAAAAAATGAACACCGGAGCGGTACAGTGACTCCTTAAAATCCGAATTTAGATTTGTTCTAATAATCTATTCGGCCTCCGGTAGAAAAGCATTCGTAGGCTGAAAAGTGAAATGATAAAGAGGGACTTGAAGGTAATAAACGTACGGATACAAAGGAGTTATATTTTTCAGTGTTTTGCTATAGAACTCATTTGCTGCAAACGTGTATGAACTACGACTGTTTTTGAGACTGTCTTTTGTATGCGATATTGTTTTTTGTTAACCTTTGTAGGTGGGCCCATTTTGAGAGGGTACTTGAGGAGTTGGTGGCTCAGTCAATTCATTACAAGACTGTGGAACAACTGCAAATTTCTGCCAGGGAAGATTGCCTCATTGACGATGATGACGAGTTTCAAACAATGTTAAATTTCTATCATGACCTCGGCCTGATTATAAAACACAGGAGCACAGTTGTTCTGGAGGCTAAATGGCTGATTGACCTGTTTAAAGAGCTGATTACCATTCCTCGTTTTGATAAAGCGGTGAGAAAAAAAGTAGAAGAAAGAAGAGTTTCATAATTTTACGATATAAGTGGTGTTTTTCAGTTGTTACATTGGCTATACAACTTATACGACTTATTAGTAAGCAAAACGCAGGATTCTGCTGGCCTAAATTGTAATTGTAATCTTAAAGGATAACGTTCACTGTCTTCATTTGTGACATCGTTATGGCATGGTAGAGATATATGTCTTCGTTTAAGCGAAGCTAGGTAAATTTAGAGTTACCCTTTTTGCACACGAACAAAAATTGAAGTTACATTCACAAAATATTTTTAAGAGGTCGCATCACGTACGTTACGCACGTTATTTGAAGAATGCGGTTATTATAATAACCTGAAAATGTGAATCGTGTCGCGTATATTAAACCTACGAAACTTATGAGCAAGCGGTAGGTGTGATTTAGACACTGAAATTTACATAAAAGGTTTAGTTATACCGCAAAAGTGAACCTTAAGATATACGTCTTGGTTGCTGCTAAGCCTGGAAATCCTGACACTATATATTTTGTTGCTTTTAGAACCCTCTTTTTTCAACCTACTGGAAGGAACTTGAAAAGAGTGGTGTTCTCTGCATGGAACTTGTCAGTCACGTGTTTTCCAAATTTGTGGATCAAACCATTGTCAAGGATGACATTTTGGATATGATGGACCAGTTTGGTTTGATTGCGAAATTTACATCAAGCACCTCTGGTACCACGTACTTTGTACCCGCGCAGCTCAGGACCCCACCCACAGATATTTGCAAACTACACCCTACCCCAGAAGATCCATGCCCACTATATCTTCATTTTCGAGGTGGGTTTGTTCCCAAAGGTCTCTTCATACGCCTTGTTTCCAGTTCTATTTCCTGGTGCTGTAAGACTTGGCAGGAGACACCACCTCCTACTCTGTACCAAAATGGTGCTCATTTCGTCATTGTCGACAAGCAGATCATCTATGATTTTATTCTTCTTTGCAAGAAAAGTTTTATCAAGATTGCGCTGAAGCAAAGAAATGAAGATGAAGAGTCAGTTTCAGTGTCTGAATCAGTTGAAATACCAAGTCGCGTTCGTGTCTTCATAGACGACACTTTGCAAAAATTGTCTCACGAGTTGCCATGTCTTAGCGGGTTGCAGTACGAGTTATCCGTTGCGTGCCCCCACTGTCTGGATGAATGTTCAAACCACCGTGAAGCTGCATGTACCCAAGACGACTGTTTACACTTTTTTGAATTAAAGGAAGGGCAGCGGCTGATATGCACGAAGAACGTTCGTGATCGTGTGAGGAGGGTTCTTGGGATGGAAAAGTGGCTGTCTTTAAGAAGAACCCAGGTAAAATTAATAAAGTGTAGTATGAAATGACGTAAAGTAATCTTTTGCGATGTTGACGTTAACAATACTAACCTGCGTAGCTGGCCACTAAGGTGCGCGACAAGCGTGCTCGAACGAGTGCTCCCCTCCATTGCCCCTCCCCAACCAAACCCGTTAGCTACTGGTCAGAGCGGGACTTGGAATCTGAGCCTCCGGATGACAACTCATGTGCGTTGACCTCTCAACTAATCTTCCTCCGTTTTTGTGGATAATGATCTCAACATTATATACCGGAGAGGTGAATTAGTTTTATTGCGTGTTACTGTGGTCGGGGGAAGGGGAGTAAGCGAAGTTGGTCTCGTATGGGTAAAAAAAAATTTCGTTGACGGAAAATGCCTATCCTGCCCATATCTGGCACTTTTTTAGAACAAGTTTCCTTTACACTGACGTGAAAGTAATTTTGCTTTCATATCTGAATAGCCAGAAACGCTTAAGATAACTTAACTTTTCCCCTGTTTCATCAAAGTTACCGATACCATTTTTAGCAGTTTGTAAACTTTTTCAGTTTAATTTATATTTATATTCTTTTTGATTTGGTGTTGACAAGGGCTGAAAACTTACTATTCAAAATTTCAACGCCCTCCCAATGTGCTGTTGCTGAAACCGAGTACATACGTACTGTCTCGAAGAGAAAGTACCGCACAGATTTTCTCAAATCCCATAATGAATTAGTCTTCGTCTATCGTACGTTTAACGTTGTTTTACCATCTTTTATAAACCATATAAGTCTTGGTAGGGAAGACTTAAAAGAAAATGCTACAACACTTCAGCAACCAGGCGAGTGCGTTATGACCCCGTTAACTCAATTGGTGGGGAAACCAGTATTCACTTTGTCAAACGCATTGCTTTTTTTAGGTGCAGTATACTCCCCGTTCTCTTGGCACGTGGCAACATAGGGGAGGTGAAAGTGACCCAGAGAAATCTCTTAAAGCACTGAATGTTACTTTGTTGGCGAGTGAGTGGGGCTCATCCATGGGTGGCTTGTCAACAATAAACAGAAATCTCGCCATTCTACTTGCGAAGCACAGCTTAGTCAACATTACTCTTTTGGTGCCACAATCTTCTTGCAGCGAGGAGGACAGGAGAGACGCTGCGAAACAGAACATTGTCATTCGGGAAGCAGAGAGTCTACCAGGCTACTATGATCCTCTTGACTGGCTGAGCTCCCCACCGAAAAACCTTGCTATCGACATCGTCCTGGGCCATGGCGCAAAGTTGGGAAAACAAGCGCAAGTAATTCGGAAGTACCACGGCTGTAAGTGGGTGCAGGTGGTCCACACTGCACCTGAACAACTGGGAATGTTCAAGAACTATGACAGCGCGGTTGCCAAAGGTGAAGAGAAGGACAGAGCTGAAGTAGACTTGTGCAGACTAGCAGATCTTGTCGTGGCAGTAGGACCCAAGTTGAGAGAAGCCTATTCATCCCGCCTCCGTGTTTACAAGAAACATCAATGTATCTTCCAGCTTACTCCAGGTACTTTCCATGAATTTTCAATGCTAGAACAAGCTACACTGGAAGAAGGGACGTTTAAGGTTTTAACCTTTGGCCGCGGTGATCCTGAAGACTTCAGTCTCAAAGGATATGACATTGCCGCCAAAGCAGTGGTTGAATTGAAAGATAGCTCTTACTGCCTGGTGTTTGTGGGCGCTCCCATTGGGAAACAAGACGAAGTCGCCCAAAACTTGCTCCAGACTGGAATCGCTAAAGACCAGCTTTTTGTCAGAGCGTTTGTGCGGAGCAAGGAAAGGTTAAAAGAGTTGTTTTGTGAGGTTGACCTTGCCATTATGCCTTCCAGAACAGAAGGTTTCGGATTAACAGCTCTGGAGGCGTTGTCTGCTGGTCTCCCCATTCTGGTGAGTGGCAATTCAGGATTCGCACATACGCTACGCGATTTACCCTCAGGAAAATCGTTTGTAGTGAATTCCAACGACCCCACGGAATGGGCGAAAGCAATTGCTGCTGTTCGCCAAAAAGGAAGAGCACAACGTCTTCAAGAAATCCAAACCTTGTTTGCTAGCTACGAAGAGAGGTACAACTGGGAGGAGCAGTGTGGAGCCCTTGTTGAGAAGATGTGGAATATGGTCCAGGGTAAGTGCTTTGTTAAAGTACTATTATCATGATGTAACCCCATCCGTTTAACATTTGGTGACGTGGCGCAGTAGACGAGGAGATGACTTTACATGTAGAAGGTCCGGTGTTGGTCTCCCGGCTGAGGAAATGTTTTTCCCTTTTTTTGGCTGTTTTGTTTTTGTTTTTAACCATACTTTTTCTTACCTGTTGCCTGGTTTTAATTTATTCACACTGCTGCCCTTTTTTTACACCTTCGCGAGGTGTTGCGATAAACGTATTTTTAGTTCCTATTAAAGCTTATAATTTGAATATTTCCTCTTTAGAAAGTTGGGATCATATATCAGCTTTGATTTTGAAGTATGACGACAAAATAAAAAACTAAAGGAACGAAAACAATTATCATGGCTTAGCTTCTTCTCCTATGTTGAGAAGTAAAGGCTAAAGGCATATGTCACAATTTCCTTATGTTCCAGCTTCCTTTATTTCCAAAGTAAAAATACGTACGTGGAATGTTAGAATGTAAAACTGCAGTAAAAATAGTTGAACACAAATTGGTTCCCTGCGTGAGTTTCATTTTTCCAGCTGGTTGGGTTTTGAAAATACCGTCGATGAATCATAAAATTGAGGGTAAAAAATTGTGACCATGTCGTTTAAAAATAAAGTACGATACAAGTAACGATTTGTTGTCCTCCGGCCTCATTCACCAGTGGCAGAAAAGATGCCTGTAGATTAGTGGTGCCAACACTTTCTGTAACTAAGTCTATGCTCACACTATCATACGGATCACAGCTTTTGCGCGGGAACGAAAATCGTACCGGATAGGGCTTCTGTTGACACATAACAACGGTGATTTTGGCGCGATTTCTGTATCGGGGCGAAGCTGCGCCGCGCCGGTGATGAGAGTGTATCGTCCATATTGGATAGGTTTCTGTCGGGATAGTGTAGACAAAGCCTATATGAAACGTTAAAGTTATTAACAAGAGAGTCCTCTCTTGGTCATCAAGGTATAACTAACTCTAACTTTCTGAGACATTTCAAGAGTTTACCTTCATTTGCGCTCTTGCTTTAGATCCCAAGTTTTAGATTAAGTTAAGTCGTCTTTACTCATATAGGTTTAGATGAGATGTCTTGATAAGCACAGTGTCTGAGGTCCAACGAACTGTGCTGTCGTTTGTTTCCTTCGCTGTTTGCTTGTCTTCTTTAACCTACAGTGTGTTTGTTATTTCTTTGTTTCCCTTAGAAAACTAGAAAGAAAGTCAATCTCTTGTGGAGCAAAATCTCCTCTGACTTAACAACAAAAATGAATGTATGCCCTAGCTGAGTTCATCTTCAAGATGCAGAACCAAGGCAGAACCATGCAATTCTTTGACTACATTTACAAGTATACTCATTCGCCTCAAGAGAAGAAAACTGCCAGCTTAAAAAACGTTTATCAGTAAGGAATTTTAAGTAGTTTAAATGAGTTGATTAATCTCATGATTAGAGAAAAGACCTACATTATTGGAAAGTACAGGTAGTTTTATAATTTGTAGTTAGGTTGAAAAAGGTCCTTCCATTAGTTAATGAGTGAAAATAATTCAGAAACTAAGTAACTATTCTAGGTTTTTGGAAAATGACCCGAATACGAATACATGCCCCTTCCCATGGTTATCTGGTCTGCGAATAGAGTCGATTCGCGCCCTCTGTTCAGAATTTTGAACTTATACGTGTAATTAGCACTGATAATTCGAAGGGAAGGGTTGGGTGGATTTAAAATAAGGTAAAGGCAATTTTACGTAAAGCGTTTGTTCTATTACTTAGACAGTATATTCAGTATTTTTGCAGGACATGTTCGTAGAACCGATTTTTTTAAAGATTTTCTATTGAAAGGGAAAAGCGGAGAAAGCAAATTCTCCCTAAATGACAGCAGTTTAACGTTCATAGATCAACAACACCAATATAATTTCAGTTTGTCGAGAAGAAGAAAATTAGACATTTCGGATTAAATAGTTAGAGAAATCATTTATAACTTTGGTATGTAAAAAGAATTCCATATCACTGTATTTTTATGTTTTTAAAATCAAGGTAAAGGTTTGGGTGGATTTCAAACACAGTAAAGCCAATTTTATGAAAAGCATTTATCGTACTTCATAAGACAGTATTTTCAGTATTTTTGTATGACATGTTTGTGGAACCCACCAATGTAGATTTACAATTAATGAGCGACAACTGAGAAAACCAAATGCTCTCGTAATGAAATTAGTTAAACGTTAATTGAAATTTTTTAGGGAAGACGTTTCAGATAGAATAGTAAAAGAAATCATATGTTATAACCATAGTAACCATAGTATGTAAATAGAATTCTATGTCATATTATTTTTATGACTCTAAAAAGGTGTAATGGGATGTTAAACAAAGTAGGAAAAAAATTAAACACACCAAAGAAGCCGAAATGCTAAGAGGAAAGCACTTTCAGTAACACATTGCTTACAAATAAACTATGTGCTATTTTGACTGTATTGTTGTCATTCCATTGTTGCTTTACTGACGGATCGATTTGGGACCCGGAGTAGTGTAGGAGCTGCTCGGAAGGTCTCTCCTAATTGGTCGCGGGAAACAATGACATGTGAGTTGGGACTCGAAATTGAAGGATTGTATGCAATACTGAAAAGATCATACTAGAGTGGTTCGTTCACACGGAACCACGCTTACCGTACGAAAGTTAAGTCACTTAGCCGTACAAAGCTCTGTGTGAATTGAGCAGAAATATTGAACTAAACGGCCTCGTGTGAAGGAAGTGTCAGGTTAAATTTTTCAGTCGGTTGAAAATTAGGGCCTGTTTATATGGAGGCGGGGGACCCCAGGTAGGTGAAGTAACCCGCCTGTCCATATAATCTCTAATTTTAATTTAATTACGTTTACATGATAGGTGGGGTGACCCGCCACATGTTACCTCACCTATCTAGGGTCCCCCACCTCCATGTAAACAGGCTCTTAGTCCGGTGCCATGTGAACGTACCGCCGTTCCCTCAGACTCGCTGGGCCGGTCATTTTAAACGGAGTTTAGCTAGACTACGAGTAGTCCCTATTTTTCCTCAGGGATAGTAGGGCGAGCGAAACGCGATCGCGCGTGAAAATCACCCCACGCGAGAAAGGCGGGACGCGGTGGCGTCTAGAGGTTGGCCAGTCTTTAACGAAACCGCGTTCTAAGCCATGAGTCGGCTCAACGCTTTCTTCTAAACCTTGTTTTAGAATGAACAGTGTAATGAAAGCATATCGATCCAGTGGAACCCAGGTCACCTCGTTATTACGGCCACTTTTTTTCGGCCCCTGCAGAACGGTCATACATTTCCTTATAAAAACACCCCTGTTAATGCGGTCACTCGTTAATACGGCCAACGGCCACATTTTAAAATCCCAAACACTAGAATCGCTTATAATTTTACCCCGTTAATACGGCCACTTGTTTGAAATTTAGAAAATTAAAATGGCTGTGACATGTCAATATTGTTGACCTAGTACTCTGAGCCTGTTCTTGTACTGTTTTTAGACTACAGTACATATAAAGTGCAGTTGTTGCGATTTGATAGCCGAATTTTAAAAGTGATTTATGTACTAAAGAGAAATTTTAAGTAGTTTTTTCCAATTACTGTACGCGATATTTACATTTCGGTTGTTTATTAATGAGAACAGTTGTTCAAGAAATGCGAATGCGTTGTACGGTGTATTTGTCTTATTTTGACCAAAGACAAGTAATTGTCGATAAAAAATCCATCTTTCAAAGTCCCATATATAGCATTGCAAAAGGGTTAACCCATGGTTTTGGCCGCGGTGATTCTGAAGACTTTTTGGCCAAACCCCTTGGAAAAAAATGTGATTTTTGGAACTTTGAAAGATGGAATTTCTTATCGCCATCAAGCTCTCTTTTCTATCTAGAATCGTATGTTTCTTTCCTATCTAGAATATTTTAAAACACTATTTCTAGTCTTATTTTCAACGAAAACACGTAAAGAAAAAAATAGAATTTTTTGGCCAAACCCATGGTTAACCCCTTTGCAAAAAATGCAGTTGTTGGGACTTTGAAAGTTTGAAAAATGTTTCTTTTCTATCTAGAACATTACTAAACATTATTTCTAGTCTTATTTTGACCGAAAACAAACTGTAACGACCAGCTTATTGTTAGAGCATTTGTACAGAGCAAGGAAAGGTTAAAACAGTTGTTTTGTGAGGTTGACCTTGCCATTATGCCTTCCAGAACAGAAGGTTTTGGATTAACAGCTCTGGAGGCGTTGTCTGCTGGTCTTCCCATTCTGGTGAGTGGCAATTCAGGATTCGCACATGCACTACGCAATTTACCCTCAGGAAAATCGTTTGTGGTAAATTCCAATGACCCCAAAGAAACCAGGATTCCCGCTGTCTGCGTTGATAATTAATTATTTTTAGCTTGGTATCCTTACGTTGCTCTGTTCCCTGATTTATTGTGTAATATCGGTTTGAGTGTCACCGGTTTACGCAAAATACGTTTCAACGGCTATCCACTCCGTCGAATTTCCACAAAAAAAATCAGTTCCCAAAGAAACCAGGATTCCCGTTGTCCGCCTTAATAATTTTAGATTGGAGTCATGTGGACCTTCTCTTTAAAACTGAAAGCGGAAAAAACAAGATCATGATCAATAAAGTTTACTTGGTAATCCCAAAGCCTCCGCTACCATCACCTGTAGAGATAGGAAGAAACTAAGAAGCTAGCACAAGTTTGCACTTTGAAAAGTACCCGAATTAGAGTGGTATCCCTACGCATCCCTTTTCCCTGATTTATTGTGTAATATCGGTTTGAATGACACCGGTTTACGCAAAATCCGTTTCAACGGCTATACGGTCTCGGTCGAATTTCCACAAAAAAATCAGTTCCCAAAGAAACCAAGAGGATTCCCGCTGTCCGCGTTGATAATTTTAGCTTGGTATCCCTACGTTGCTCTGTTCCCTGATTTATTGTGTAATATCGGTTTGAGTGTCACCGGTTTACGCAAAATACGTTTGTCACAACACAACAGGGGAAAGTATTAGAATTTCCGGTTCAACCCCAACGCTTCCGGTTACATATAGAAAATGCAGTCACACGAAACAAGCCGTGAAAACGAAAGCAAAAAGAGTTGAGTAGAATTACATTATACAGATTATAACATATATCCTAAGCTTTAATTATAGTTATAGATATGAAATAAATCTTATCCGAATAATGTACGCAGCTAATTCATCGATTAACATCAATGCTTCGTGAATGTTTCTGGTCTCCGTTATTCCAAACAAAGGCAAGATTTCCGTACAACCCCATACATTAATTATGCATACATTCATTGTTTAAAGAAAACAAAAGACAGAACACTACTAAGCCTTTGGGATTTCGGCTATTGTTTTAGAAATTTTTAATTTTTTTTCTAAGGCATGGGTCGCACTTGGGAAAAGTTTTCATCTTTGCCGGCTAAAAAACCACAAAAATTCGAAACCGCAACCGGAAAAGAAAACTTTTAGTCCAACCGAGGAGGGTCGCATAATAGTGGGAGTTAATAGTTTTTGCTTTGACCCATTGAGAACTGAAGAACGCCAGATACCAGAAAACATTTTTCTCTTCTTCGTCCGAACCTTTTTTCTGTGATTCCTATTGTTTAGCTCGAGTTTTCCAAAATCTGCCTGCCCCACCCAAGCACTACGGCGTCTTTGATGTTTTTGCCGATTTTCAAAGTTTTTTCTAACTTGAAAACTCGGGGTCGCACTTCGCAATGTCCACCGATGACAGATTTCTACCGCAAGGTAAACAAATTCTCCCAAAAATTTGCCAAGTGCGACCCATGCCTAAGTCTTTTTTGAAACGCGCTAAATTTGGCGCTTTTTGCACTAAAATAAGAACTTTTTGGAGCAAATTTCGGACTATTTTCGCTTTCCGAAACCTAACTTTTATAATGACCCAAACATAATATTGTGCAACAAATACAATAATTTTGACACAAATATACTTTCCAGAGGGTACTCAACCAAATTCCAGGGGGTGGAGGGCTATGACAAGCATCCCCTACAGTGTAAAATGGAAATTCCAGAGGGTGGGGGTGGGGGGGTCTAACTTGAAAGTTCCCTACGTAGGGGTATGGATATTTTCTGGAACTACACAATAATAGATGTGTTTAGTATTTTACTGACTGCTTCAGTGCATATATGCCAACTCTCCCGGATAAAATAGAGTTATGAGCTTCTCTGTGCTTTCATTTCGAGTTTTTCCCATTTTTTCTCAAAATTCCAATTTTCTCTGATTCATAGTTCGGTTTCTGGAGCCTTTTTGCACGTTTTTCATCACTGACAAAGATTATTTCGCCTTCACAATCATAAAAGCGAATTATGAAGGTCTGTAGTTCGTGGAAGAACTCATATAATGTCGTAAGCTTATTGGGGGATCGGCGGGAAGGGGGGGGTTGGTCGTTAAAATTGGGGTAGGGGGTAGTGATGCAAAAGAGAGAGTCTCCAGATTTTAGATTTCCAGGGGTTGGCATCTCTGTGAGTGTGGTCCCTTGGTTGATGGCTTCAAGCAAGGTTCCTATGGATGTATATATGTTGTAGTTAATTTTTCATCTCAGGTAATTTGTATTCTTCTTTTGTTTCAACTTCATTAACAATACATTAAAATACCCAAAAGATGGGAACTGGAGCCAAAATGCGTCCCACAATTAGGGAGTTTTAGCAACGACGACGGCGACAGCAACAAGAAAGTCAAAACAGAAATAGGTTTATTAAGCAAAACAACAAGTTTGCACGTGCATCACACTCTTTTGTACATTTCTTTGCCGTTGCTGCACGACTACGACGTGAAAATGCCTAATTTCACCTTTTAGGGAGGATGTAATTTTCTCTTTTTAAACTTGAGTGCAGTTCCCAAGAAATCAACTCCAGGAAAATTTGCCTACATCAGACATTTGGAATAAACGCGATAAAGTTTGAAAAAGTGACACTTTCGCTGCTGTAGCCGTCATCAATGCTAAAACTCCCTATTGTTTCTGGGATCATTACTAGGGACGTGCTGGCCAGCTATTGGCCAATGTTTTCCCCTGTTCCTGGTAACACTCCCACAAGTCTTTGCAAAATTAAAGAGGCCTGGTTTCCCATTCATTTCTTAAGTGGAGAAGAAAGACACCAGTGCTGTCAATTCTCCCGGATAATCCAGGAGACTCCCTATTTTGAACCTTTTCTCCCGGTCTCCAGATTAGAGTCTGAAATCTCCCGCACAGTTGCCGAAGTTTGCTATTTCTTGTAGATTCAACTTTCTGTCAATGAAATTTAAAATATTTTGGGTTGTTTGAGCTATTTAATTTTTAACATTGAACGTTTCCTCAGAAACCTTAGCATGCCATCGTAATATAAGCAATAATGTGATTGGTGGGGAAGTAAACCAATCAGGTACAAATGTTACAATTCCAACAACATCTTTTTCGCATGTTTTTTTGCACAAATGACGTCATGTTTTGTGCATTATGACATCATCTACATGTATTATCCCTTCCCTGTCAATTCTCAATATTTGAAGATGTCGGGGGTTGACAGCCCAGGACACTTTGACCTAAATGTGAGCGACATACCTTTTTCACTTCATCTTCTTTTGATGTGTCATATGTTCCTTCCGAACCTACAAACAACAGCATTTGTTGCATGAAATAACACAAAATGGTAGATGTTTTTCTGATGACTGAGTGACATGGGGGCGAACTAGACAGATGACTGAGAGCTGCAAGATGTCTATGGACTACTAGGAGTTTGTCAAGGGCTTGGAGTCCTCTTGCTCTTGCCCTTTTTCTCTTCTCTCTTCACCATATAATGTCATGTAGTTTCAATTAATTTACACATAATATGGTTCTAAGCCCTCTCTTCGTATTGTTTCCACATTTTTTGGAAATTACCTTAAGGCTCGCTAGTGATGTTTCAGCAAGGCATAGGTTCTAACTCATAGAGCAATAATTTGGAAAAAAAAATTAAAGGCAAAATTGACTGATGTTATTAAGATGTGTCTGCATTATCAGAGCACTCTACAGAATACAGGTGGACAAGTAAATTCTACACAAGATGAAAATGGAAAACCATGCAGACACTGCGAGAAATTCTGAGAAAACAAACCTAACATTAAACAGGTCTGTGTTATCTGCCGAAGCCGAAGGCTGAGGCAGATAATACAGACACGAGGTTTTGATAATTCATGATATCATGCAAAAACCGAATTCAATAATTGTTTTATTATACATTTTTTAAACAATAGACAAAAGAAGACATTCATCTGTTGAAAAATGGCTTTATTTCAAAACTAAGGTGAGAGTGACACTGATAAGCTTAAGGTGGCTCCGTAATTAATACAAGAGCGTTTAGCTGTGACAAATTTTCCGTCATAACTTTTTCGATTTTAACGCGATGGCTGCGAAACTTTG